AAGAGTAAATTTCCTTTTTTTCACATTGAGAGTTTGGGTTTTTAAGGTCGCTGAATTCAATTCTAATGTCAGATTGGACAAATTGACACTTGAGAGCTGCCAATTCACTGTCAACGAAGAATAGAGAAGTAAATATTCTCTGTTGACATTGAGAGTTTGGGTTCTTGAGGTCGCTGAATTCAATTCTCATGCCAGATTGGAAAAATTGACAGTTGACAGCTGTCAATTCACTGTCAAAGTAGAATAAAGAAGAAAATATTCTCTTTTACTATTGAGAGTTCAAACTCTCAATGTGAAAAGAACATATTTACTTTTATATTCCTCTTTGACAGTCAATTTACAGCTGTCAACTGCCAATTTGTCCAATCTGACATGAGAATTGAATTCAGCGACCTCAAAAACCCAAGTTCTCAATGTGGAAAAAGGATATTTACTTTTATATTCCTCGTTGACAATGAATTGACAGCTGTCAACGGTCAATTTGTCCAATCTGACATGAGAATTGAATTCAGCGACCTCAAAAACCCAAGTTCTCAATGTGGAAAAAGGATATTTACTTTTATATTCCTCATTGACAGTAAATTGATAGCTGTCAACGATTAATTTGTCTAATCTGACATGAGGGTTGAATCCAGTGACCTCTTAAACATTACACTATGTATTAGAATAATTAAAATATGCTTTTGACATCTGTATATAGTATTGAAAGTGAATAGTTTTGCAACGGGTCAGGGGAGCTTTGGCAGCTCCGTAGCTACCAAAATATTCATTTTGGCACTTTGTGTCCATGGAGACTTTTGTTGAGAATGACAAAATCTACAACATATCAAAAATTCAGACAATTTGACAGAAACCCAATTTCCATAAGATTATTACGGGGTCCTTTATATATAGCAGCAATAAATGAATTGGGTGAATTACAATTTTAATACAAGTCAGACAGTTTATGAGCGTATGGTCGAATAAACGCGATAATTTTTGCAAGGCTCTAAATTTGCACCAGACAAAACCACACTCGTTAAATGGCTGTTCCGATATAATGTGTTTGAGCGTTTTTAGCGGTCAGTCCCTCTTACACCCATTTATTTTTGTCAAAGGGTTGAATTACCGAGTTTTTGTTTTAAAAATTGTGGTGGTTTTAGAAGCGTTTGTTCGTTATTTTTTTTTTTTTTTTAATTTAATTTGAATATACCATTTTAAATAATACTGCCTAATTCTTAAAATAAGAATTGTATTTCGTTTATTATTTATTTCTATGGGTTCATTGTTGGATAAACCACTCTATGTATTAAATTATTTTAAATGAAACTGATCCACTCGAGCAAGTCAGTTGATTTTAAAATGAAGGCAGACTTATAAGAGAAAATTAATCTATAGTGAAATTTTATAGATTATTATTAATAAATTTTTGTAACAATTTACCAAAATATATTTTTCGTTATTATAATAGTTTGTTTGTAAACCAGAACAATAAAAGTTTATTTATAATTTGATTTATCAAACCAATAAAATAAAATGGGCAATTCTAATTTCTATAAAATGCATCCATTTGTTAACCTAAAAATATTAATTTAACACTTGGAACATTTTATCCGCTTAAAATCGAAAACTTATCAAACTGTCAAATAGAAAATTAAATATCGAAAATTCCACACCATACTTTCAGCAAAAAGGAATCAGAAAATAATGAATCCGAGCGAATTATGTAACTTCACATCGCAGAAGGCAGTCGAGTTACCTTCTGAGAACTAAACTTCTGTTCCAAGATAATGAAATGTCTTCTGTCTACTGAGCGCCATTCAATATCTGCTCTGTGATTAAAATCGCTCCTCTCACCGTTATCCGAGCAGTTTGCGGCGTAGAACGAACTGAACAATATAACTCTTTAGATAAGTGTCATTTCAATGATTTCTCTGTCTGGGTTAGCAAAGCAAAGATATTTTATCGTTATGTATACCACCTAGAATACTAAATTAATTTGTTAATATCTATCTGCTTTTAAAAGTATCGAGAATTTGTATTACCAGTAACGTCATTGCTAATACTTCAATATCCTTTCTTATTAATTATTGAAAATATTTTTATTGCCATAGGAAATGAACTATTCATAAATTGTGATCAAAATATACTTTATATATTTTGATGAATTTAATATTATATTGCAAGAAATGGATTGTGATTGTGATTTTAATCGTCTTGTATTTACTGAAGGTTTTAAAATAGGTGAAATGAGATGTCACAAACTTGAAGGTTATTGCGTATTTTAATATAAAAGAAATATCAATAAAAATGATAGAACTATAATACTATTTAAAAAAAGGTTTTAACCAGTGCACTAACATTGTAAGGCTCGAAGAAAATAAAGTAATAGAAACCATAATCATATTCCATAACAAACAAAAATTAAATTTACTGTCTGAAAACCAATTTGGCTTTCGAAGGGGAATATCGACGGAAAATGCCATTACATCCCTAACAAGCAAAATATACAATCTTATTGATGCAAACACTCCAACAGCTTGCGTATTTCTGAATCTAGCCAATGCATTTGACATGGTTAGCCACACACAACTGTTAGATGTCTTGGAGGATGCAGGAGTACGTGGGAAAGTTCATGATTTAATGCAGAGCTATTTGATAGGTAGAAATCAAGTAGTCAGGATAGACGAAGTGGCAAGTAGTAAAAAAAAAATTTTTTGTATACCACAAGGTACCGTAATAGGACCTATTTTATTTAAACTATACATAAATAATGTACTAATCTACTATACAGAAGGTAATATCATAAGTTTTGCGGATGATACTGTTGAAACCTTGACTGAGCTAAAGATTAAAATGGAAAACAATTTAGTAAACATTGTAGATGTATTTAGCCACAAGTTACTTGCGGTAAATGTTCGAAAACCCTTCTTCTTCCCCTTTGCTAGTTATAAAAATGGTTTGCGGTATAAATCTATGATTTGCTCCACACTTTTCAGAACATTGTCCAAAAAATAATCCTAAATAATAATGAATCTAATTTGAATTAAAAATTTAAAAATTAAAAATGGGTATAAACAGAGCCCACAGTATACAATATCTAGGATTTACAATTGATTCCCATTTACGCTGGGATAAACATGTACATGAAATTTGTAAGACCTTAAGATATTTATTTTATTTAAACTTGGGGTATCCATGTTTGAATTAATCTATTAAAGGTGGGAAAAAGAAAGAAGAGAGGTCCTTTAAATTCCACAAAGAAAGAGATAAGGACTTGTTTTCTTTCTTTTTTTCCACATTTAAACTATTTTATTTTTATATTTAATACTAATTTAAGCTCTGAAGAATATTCCAACACAAAATAAACCTATAAACTGCTCATACTACCTATGTAACAGTTTCGCTAAATAACTTTAATAATATAAAATTTTATTTTTCGTATTTTGTGGGCACCGAACGTCGATCCAGATGACCAGAAAAAAGGGACACACGTCCTGGATCGACTATACGTGACGCTGGACCTCCTGGTTGGAAACTAAGAGCCTCTGTCGCATTATTTCGTGCCCTTTTTGCATCGAGAAACGTCTAGAGTAGAAAATGGATTGTTATTGGAAAACGTGATTCGAGGGGACTGATGATGAGTTTGATTTTACGATCTGTCAGATGGCGACTCTCGAAATATAAGGACCCTTCTAAAAATACTCCTAACTCAATAAAGACTGATTGACCTGGTTATGCTTTTTTAATAAGTATGAAAACATCATTTTTTGTTTCGATATAATTACATAAAATGTTTATTCTTTAAAAAAAGAGAGAATAAATCTGTAAGCAACTCTAAACAGTAGAGACAAGTAAAAAAAGTAATTACATCAGTAGGAAATTAAAAATCTGTTTTATTTTTCAGTTTGCACAGAGAGAAATTTGGTCTAAAATTCAACTCAAATCCATGTTTTATTCTATCAAAATGTATTTAATTTGAGTGGTTTTACAAGTGAAAATATTTTAAGCACAAGTTCTAAAAATAATAAGTGTCCACTGTAAAATTTAACATTTTAATTCCTGAATTTCTAAAACAAAGACGTTGATTTAAAATTTTAGAAAAAATAACATTTAATCAAACACTAAAAATGTTCTTTTAAATATTGCATATTCGTGATAAAACTTAAATCATACTCAATCTAACCCAACTTTATTAGAATTAATATTTTAGACTTTAATGAGAAACATATGCTTAAAAAAGTGACTGTGATTAAAATAGGTATTTAAAATTCTAATTCAACAACTAAATACGATATTTTAAAACTTTCAGAGCTCTTCAGAAGTCTTTAAATGTTTTCAGAAGTCTTTGAATGTATTCAAAAGTCTTTATAAGTCATCAGAAACTATCAAAAGTCTTCAGAAGTCTTCAAAAGCATTTAGAAGTCTTATAAAGTATTTAGAAGTCTTAAGAATTCTTGATAAGTCGTCAGTAGTCTTCAGTAGTCTTCAGTAGTCTTCAGTAGTCTTCAGTAGTCTTCAGTAGTCTTCAGTAGTCTTCAGTAGTCTTCAGTAGTCTTCAGTAGTCTTCAGTAGTCTTCAGTAGTCTTCAGTAGTCTTTAGAAGTCTTTAAAAGTCTTTAAAAGTCTTTAAAAGTCTTCAGAAGTTTTCAGTAGTTTTCAGAAGTCTTCAGAAATTTTCAGAAGTCTTTAAAAGTCTTTAAAAGTCTTTAAAAGTCTTTAAAAGTCTTTAAAAGTCTTTAAAAGTCTTTAAAAGTCTTTAAAAGTCTTTAAAAGTCTTTAAAAGTCTTTAAAAGTCTTTAAAAGTCTTTAAAAGTCTTCAGAAGTTTTCAGAAGTTTTCAGAAGTTTTCAGTAGTTTTCAGAAGTTTTCAAAAGTCTTTAGAATACTTTAGATGTCCTTAAATGTTCCAGTATGTCCCTGTATATCCCGATATGTTCTAGTATAACCCAGTAATTCCCTGTATGTCTCAGTATACTTTAAAGTAATAAAGTAATAACCAAAATATATTTCTTTTTTCCAGTTGCACCTCGATGCAAGAAAGGCTACGAAGCAATGCGGGTTGGTGCCCTTCCCTTCGAAACGTTGGTTATTCAATGTCATGTTGACTCGATCCCCGAAGTATCCCGATTTTCTTGGACCTACAACACCAGCCGGGGCGTTCTGCCTGTCCAAGGAGGAAAGGTGGATAATCAGGGTAATGTCTCGATATTGAGATTCACACCTGGATCGGACGATGTCGAATCGTTGGCATGTTGGGCTTCGAATAGGGTCGGAAGACAAGAGAGGCCATGTCTGTTTTTTATCATTCCTGCGGGTAAGTAAAACGTTTTTTTTTCCGAGATTATTTATCAAATATTACGGTTGAAACATTATTCAGATCCTAATTTGTAAAATGGAAGCTGCAAAACAAAATAATCAATTTTTTTCTTTCAAGAAGTTTTGTGGGAAACACAAGAAATTTATAATTTCTTTTGGATAGAACATACAGTTGGTTAAAAAACACAATTATTTTGAATTAGTCAGAAACTGAAAGAAACAATTACAGGCAAATAAAATAACATAACCTCAAAAATAGTTTTATGCTGAAAATAATAGGCATTTTTCGGCAACAATCGTTGAGTTGGCAAACATACTTCCGGTTTATTAAAGTCCCAGTTTTTATATATTTAAAGAGAATTTTCAAATAAATACACAATTTAAAATATCTAATGAAAATATATATTATAATGTATTTAGAGTTTGGAAAAAATTTCTTGTGCCTAGCCCTACTTTGTGACGTCACGCTTAGGATATCTATTTTATTATTATTGTTGATTACATAATAAATCCTAATTTTGGCGGGTGCAAAGCGCTTCCACCAAAATTTTAATAATTATTTTAAATTTTGGTGAATGCCTGATAAAAAATGAATACAAAAAGTTATAAATAGGTTTACACTTATCTGTTAAATTTTAAGTTAATTCAATTATAGTAGAGTCACAATCGACATGGAGTAATAAATCCAAAATTTTAGGACTTTTAGAGCACAGGTGGCTCAAACAAAATATGTGAATTTAAACAACAGGCAGTTAAAAGGTTTGGTTTCATTAATCTTGAAGAATTAAAACGATTTATTATTATTATTATTATTATAATAATAATCTTAGTTTTTAATTAAATTATTTTTATATTTGTCTATCATCTCTTCTAAAAATTCTAACAAGCGTTCCCGAAGAATACAACAAATAATAAAGAAACCGTTTCTTTTTTTGAACGCCGCATATTCTGACAGTAATATTGAATGACATTAGCTAAAGTAATGATTGCCAGTCACAGCCCGAGGATTATGCTATTTCATGCGCTCCTGCCTCCAAGTTATTCAGGAATTGTGACGTTTATTGAGTTATTGTCTGAAGGAAAGCCGTTTGGGGTTAGTTGCTTCGGATATGCGGCGGAATTCCAGGGAAAGCGAGAGTTAATATTACGGATTTCACCTGTTGGATGTTTTGATAATGACAAGAAGTAAGGAAATGGTTAATTTTGAACAAAGACGTAGTGTCGTCTAGGGTAAACTATTTTTAATAGAAACAGGTAGTTTGCAAAATTGTGTAGGCAAAATCGATAAAAGAAAGATTATTTAAAAGAAGTAAAACAATATATTAATAATAGTCATTAAATGGAAATGAAATATTAAATTTAAAGTTTTGAAAATGTAGAAGTTTATATATTATGTGGATATTAGAGGTAAAATAAAATAAGACAAATAAATGATTTCATACTTTGGTATAAGTTAAAGTTAAATTTGCAGATCAGCAATGTCTAGATGAGTAACCACTGGTTAAATATTTTATAATAATATTCCGAAATTGCCTGCAATAATATTTTTTTTTTCTTAATAAAACACCTAACTTTATTAAATTTAGTTATATAATTCTGGAGAATCCGCTTCTAGTATTTCTTCTATGGTTTCTATTGAGATAAAACGTTCACTTTTATCTTAATACTTTCAATGTATATTTTATATTGGCAGTTGTTTTCCACTTTTTTTTTAACTAGAGTAGTTGTCACATTTGTTGATATTTGTCACATATATTTTCTAAATAAAGTATTTTTGTATTGATATCTGCATTCGTCAATATCGTAACAGGTCATGGTTGCTCATAAATTGACTACTATTTTGTCTACCCATTATCCATTGGAAAAATCAATTCTTTGGAATCTGCTGATAGTGTGAAAGAAATATGAAGTGCCAAGGAACTGAGAAACTACGATGTGCAGATAATTGAACCATCTGGAAATTCGCAACAAAGAATTTGACAAACCAATACTAATTCAAGTCTTGTCACCCCTAATAGCTTGTGAGTTTCAGCTCTGTTAGAACAGTAAACCAAACAAGCTGCGTATATTGTTTATAATCTCAGATGATAACAATAACATAGTCAGCCACATTTCAAAGTTTGAATGGCTAATTTTACGAAGACAATAATTAACTGTAAAACCTGATAAAGCATTCTTAATCGTCAAACTGCTAGATACTTTACTGAATCAGTATAAAAGCCAAGAGCAAGCTTGGTGTGCAAGACCGAAAGATCAACAAAAGCTTGAGAATCTTATACGAGTTTTAACTGCAGAGGAAACGCCCTATAAACAATAGAAGAAATCTGTTGCACTCATTGTCAATAAGAATCTTCTGTTGCTACTGCCGCCACTGATACAGACCCTATAAATATGGGAAAGAAACGTACTTAGAAAAAATATTTTAAAGTAAACAAATTGATGGGCTTTAGATGAACAGACAACGAAATCAGTGAGCTACATTTCTTCTTTTAAAATATCCTAATTTATACATTTGCTTATTATCTGCCGTTTAACACAAAACAACCTTAAGATAAAAAGTTCCCACAAGAAATCTTACCAAATTCAACCAACACCCTTTTGCCAAAGATCCTAAGACACCTGCTTTCAAAACTATTTTATAAAATCAGATAAGTTTCGATCTTATTGATTTAAAACTGTAGGGCGTAAAGCACTCAGTTGAAAGAGATGAAATAAAACCATTCGTGTAAGAACTCTGGTAATCCACCAACCCCCAATAAACCTCCAATTTGAACTTTGGCAAGAACACGAGAATTAGCGTTAATCTCCAATGATATTTTTTGGGGAATTTCCTCTGCAAGGTTTCGACTACTCCAACATCAAGTAAGTGATTACCGTCAGATAAGTAGTTTGAATATTCATAAGCCGAGAGAGAACCGGGAGAGATGCGAATATGGTAATGAAATTACTTCGACTCATATTATCAAATTTTCGTAGTGTATAAACTTTGCTTCATTATTAAACTACCTAATTTTAAATATGATGAATTTAATTTCAGACGTTATGTCGGAGACAATGAGCACTAAACTTCGGATTCAGAGGATAAATACGCAGAAGTGAGTTTCGGAATTGGCCTCGGCATATGAATACGTGAATATCCTAAAATAATATGAATATTAAACCAACGATTTATATCTCGAATTATACATATAACACCAAGTAAATATTTGTCTTTTTTTAATTATTTTTTGGGATTAAAGACGATTAAAAATGAATATAATGAATTATAATGTGTATAAAAGTTTAAAATATTTGATAGGTGAAGATTAGATCCTGTGTAATGAATTTTCAATTGGAAGAGTATTATCCTATTTTAATAATGAAACGTTACTCATCATCAATTTACTCAACCAGAAGAATTATCTGGAAAATAGAGAGCCATCAGGCAAATTTTAATAAAACAGTTAAAAAGGTAAAAAGAAAATAAACACATAAGACTCGCATATAATAATACAATTTACTGTTTAAAATTTTTCCTTTATATAATTAGATAGTGTATGTTGGTTTTTTTCACTTATAAAGTTACCAATTATCGTTTTAGGTGATTTTAATTTTAACTTTAAGGGAGATTATGCCTCTCTGAATGATTTAACGTGCTACACAATCTAGTTGATTGGATAATATTATGACAAATTTAAATAAGGGTTTTTATAAAGAGTAGGTATACGACCCTCTGTTTTCTAATCATCAGGGCAGTATTTGTTTCTAAAAACTGCAGTTATAACTATGACCCAAGAATTATCTTTAATTAGGGCTTTTGTCACGAGGTCGTGTTTTTTGTACCAGTTTCGTTGTTGAAAGAAAATACAAAATATAAGAAAATATGCATTTTATTGATCTCAACCACACCTCATTTATTTTAACAATATTTTTAAAGGTCTTGGTACACTACCACATTTCTAAAGCTTGGAGCACGTCACAATCTTCCCCAAAAAGGTACAATGGAAAACTTTTTTAATTTACAAGGATATTAAATTATTACTTTTTTAATTTTAAAGGATTTTAAATTATATCAAAAAAGATGGCTTAGTGGAGTCTCTTTTTGAGTCCACCTTTTACGCTGTCGAGTCTACAACTACCTCCTTGTTTAATTTTAATATCTAATTTTTCGAATATTGCCGATCTGCAAAATTATACGTAGTTTAATCAAACTTAAATTATGTGGTTGATGACCTGATATTATTCTAATTAAGCAATATAATTTCCTTATTATTTCCTACGTATATTAGCAATTCGGCAGTATTTTGTAATCGGTTTTAAATTTGTTTAATTATCTATGTTTTGACTTTAATAAAAAATGCTGAATAAAAAATAACATGAATTTGTTTAACTTACTTTAAAAAACACTAAGAAAAATTATTATTAATATTTTTTGGAATTTGTGACACTATTTCAAACTCTGGCATACGAAAATCCAAAGAACTTACAGAGCAAAGAGATTTTTTGTCAAAGTTAAAAACTATCTGTGATGTTACTAAAGACCCAGTTAAAAACTTTAGAAAAAACTATAATATTAAAATAAAACGTGCAAAAAACAAAGCATATAATAATTATATAGCCATGGCAGATAACAAATCCAAAGCAAGTTGGCATTTGGTAAATTTTGTAAGAAATAAATCAGAACAGAAAACCGTATTAAAAGTCTAAACCCAAATGACTTTAACGATTTCTTTTCAAATGTAACAGAGAATATTATTAAATCTTCATCGGTTTTACCAATTAATGATTTATTAAAGTTTAGAACATTTCCAGCTCCCTGCTCATCATTTTTTCTTTTTCCAGTTACAAAAGAAGAAGTTCTTGGGCGTTATCAGAACTACTAAAAATTCACCATTCATGGCGTTAATGTCAAATTTATAAAAAAAACTATAAAAATTATATTAGACCCTCTGACAATGTTAATCAACAACATTTTTCTCACTGGTATTTTTTCAAATATATTTAAATTAGCAAAGTTAT